ACAGATGTGCTCAGAGGAAGAAACACTGTGTTAGGGCCTGTAGTGTCATCGCCCTGTCCCTGCCTTTCTCAATCCATGGGCCTCTGGTGTGTGACATTGTTCCTGAGGCTCCCTCTTGTTCTGGCTGAGGTAAAGCCTCTTGCTCCATCTGCCCACAGCTGGTTGGCAAATGCCTACATTTGGCAAGTGCTGTACGGGTATGGTCTAGGAGGATGGCAGGGTGGGGGTTGGGACCCTGGTTTCCACCCCCTCACTCCCCAAATTCCTTTGTAACCCTAAGCAATGTCTGCCCCAAAGGGAACTGGGGGCAATGTCTGCCCCAGAGGGAACTGGGGCTGGGCCCATTCCAATCCAAGGTTCAGACTCCAAGGCACGCCCCAGGCCTTCTGGGATGTTTGTATGGGTCTAGAAAGTGGATTTGAGGAAATCAAGATTAATTAGAGTGAAAGTTTCCTTTTCTGTATCACTACTTAGAGTCTTTTAAAAATTGTATATTGTGTGGGTGTGGGGTGGGGTGCTGGTGGTGGCACTAGCTTGTAATCCTATTTACTTTGAGAGGTTGAGGCATGGGATCACAAATTCAAGATCAGCCTGAGCAATTTAGCAAGACACTGTCTCAAAATGAAAAATAAAAACGGCTAGGGATATAGCCCAGTGGCAGAACACCCTTGGGTTCAATCCCTAGTACCTGAAACAAACAAGTTGTGAATTGTGAGGCTCCAAGGAACAGCATGGAGGTTTCCTATACTTCCTTGAGTGAAAAACCCTTTTCACAGACAATCTTTTTGTTTTTTTTTTTTTGTACTAGGTTCTGGCTAAATTGCGGAGGATCTCACTATCTTGCTGAGTCTGGCCTTGAACTTGAGATCCTTTTGTTTCAGCCTCCTGAGTTACAGTTGTGCACCACCACACTCAGCTACACAGGTTTTTTTTTTTTTTTTTGATACCAGAGATTGAACTCTTGGGCACTCAGCCCCTGAGCCACATCCCAGCCCTATTTTGTAATTGATTTAGAGACAGAGTCTCACTGAGTTTCTTAGCACCTCAATTTTGCTGAGACTTGCTTTGGACTCACGATCCTCCTGTCTCAGCCTCTCAAGTCACTGGGAGTACAGACGTGCACCACCGTGCCGAGCTGCTTCACAGGGTCTTGTCTGACCATTATTCCATAGAACACTGAGAAGTACCCACTTATTCCAACATAGCCCATGTTCACTTTATAGAGGAGGAAAGGGGACAGACAGTCTTGTTTCCAGCCTCAGTCTAGTTTGGTGGTGGTCTGAGTGCAGCCTGATCTCCCTTTCTTCTGTGCGCTTAGAACCTCCACCAGGGGGCAGAGGGGATGTTGCAGGGCAACCTGGGGGATCTCAGACATTTGAGGAGAACTACATTGGGTTTAGATCTGAGTAGGGGCTAGTGTGACCACCTTCTTGGCCTGAGGCCCCTCTAGGGCAACCTTGGCCACTTTAAGTCTGGAGCCCAGCTTTCACCAGGAAGACAGTGTCCTCTTATGGGTCCTCTCAGCAGTTACTCTCAAGGGTCAGTCTGGGCAGAGACCTCAGTGAAGCTTTGCTTTACTATCTTCCAGTAAATCCATCTGACTGGTTGCTTTATAGTTATTTCAGTAAATAAATTTGATGAGCTTCTCTGTTTTGTTCTCCCCACCAAGGATTGAACCCAGGGTGCTCTACCACTGAACTATATACCCACCCTTTCTTTATTTCTTTATTCTTTTTTTTTTTTTTTTTGGAAAGGAAAAAAGGAGCAGTAACAACTTTTATTTTCTCTGTTTAAATTCAAACAGAAAACAAACATCAATTTTGTTATACACTAACATCTTCAAAGTACATCATTTGTACAAGAGAAGGACTAAGAACAAAAATGTGTTTACCGAGATCCAGAACAAGTGGATGAAGTCCACCTCCTCACACTGCTTTCCGATGGTATTCAGGAGGGGTGACTTCATAATCCCTGGCACTAAACAAAGTTGCAGAATTCTTTGCCAGGTACTTGAGGAAATCATGAAAATAATTCAATAATAAAGCAGGGCTCTTCTCATCCAGAGGTGTATAGGCCAACATCGCTCCAATTCGTACAAATAATCTCAGTAGATGTGGCGCTCCATACACCTGGGACATGGGTGCATCAGAATGATCTACAAGGATTTCAGCATCTCAAATTTGTAGAGCAGTTGAGTGCCCAGCATTACATTGAAGTATTCTTTTATTCCTGCCACAACTTCATTAACAGCATACTCCTTATTATCTGTGTTTCCTGGAGATTTCTTGTAATTTGCATAATCCTCAAGAATAGAATCCACATTCTTCTTCCCAGGAAGATAAAAGAGCTGTTTTTGTCTGGTAATTAAGTCCCAGTCATCAACAAGCCATGGTTTTAGCTCTTCAGGAATCTTTACTTTAACTTCAACTCTGTTCATAAATGTATCTTCATTTTCAACAGTAGGAGCTACCTGGGCCCTTTTCTTTCGAGTAGGCTGAGATGTCTCACTGGTACTGCCACCATCTCCATTTCCAGGTGTTTTCTGTTTGTTCTTTTTGGTTTTCACTTCAACATTTTTCTGTTGCAGACCAGATATCTTCTTTCCTGGAGCAGCCCCTCTCATCTTCCCCTCTGCATACTGCTCCTGATTGGCTTTTTGGAGTTCTCGCTGTTTCTGCAGATTGGTGTCCACATACTTGAGCACTCTGCTCTCTGGAACCCATTCATCCCAATTTTTATTCCAACCACTGTAATGTATAAAGTATTTCACTTGTTTGTCCTTTATGGCAACCTTAATACACTTTGCTTCATAAAGGAGAGGCCCATGAAAGCACAGCACTGGCTCACCCTCCTGGAATTTCAGCTTCGGGTCCTGCCTGGGCGCCACTTATAAGTGATTCTCTGCCTCCTCCTTCTCCCACCACCCCCGATTACTGGCCCCTACTCTCTACCCAACCCAACTTCGCTTCAGAAGCACCATCAGGCACAGCCAGCTCTACATCTTGGGCCCGATTTATTTATTTCTTTATTCCAAGACAGAGTTTTGCTGATCTCAAACTTGAGATCCTCCTGCCTTAATCTGCCGAGTTGCTGGGATTATAGTGACTGAATTTATTCCACCATGCCTGGATTTATGAGCTTTTCTGATTATATCTGAGCCTCTTTCTGGCTTGGTTATCTGGGCTAGGAGCAGATAGATGCTCTGAGTTAGGACTGAGTGGCTGCTCTGAGCAGAGTACTGGGCTAGGTTCCATCAGGAGGTACTAGGTGTAATGGTGATTCAGATTAACCTGGAGTTGATAAACTGAGGTCAGTGCATGTGCTTTCTTGACCTCTAGGCCCCTAGAGAATAGACAGCTATTTGAAGATTTACCTTCTTTACTCAGACCAGTTCCTAGAAGTAGTTCAGTTTCTGGGGCCTGAGGCTTCCAGGGTCCTGCCCCATCTCCAAACAGTAATAGGCATTTCCTTTTGGTGAATTAAGACCAAGAGGGATATTGGACCATGGTAGCCCAGGCCTGTGAATTGGACCATGGAAGCTCTTTACACATGCTGCAGGCAGCTCTTGGGTGCAGGTCTAGAGACATGGCAGCCAGCAGGCTGTTTGGCCCTCTGACTCTGGGGCTGCCTTGCTGGGATGCTCAGAGCAACCTGGCCTCAGCTGTGATGGAATTCTTTTCCTAGACCTTTTCAGCTTCAGTGAGATCCTTTATGAGTAAAGTCTATGATTGGGTGGGTGAGTTAGACTGCGTGGGGGTAGTGAGCAGAACCAGAGTGGGAAGGGGTATGAGGCAAGAAGATGGAGCCAGTCCAAGTGAGGAGAAAACCACAGGAGGGGTGGGTATCTTGGAGCCTCTGTCCTGCTAGCTCCTGGTTGTGCCAAGGACACCAGGCAGGAATCTGAGATGCTCAGGAATGTCTAGCACTTGTCCAATTTGCAGATTCTAAGGCTCTTGCTTCCTAATATCTTGGTAGGGGCTGACATTGCCTGGGGGAGACCCAAGCAGGCCCATGGATCCAAGGTTCTCCATCTGTCCTCACATGTTGGAGGGGAGGCCAGGAACAATATCTGAGGTGAGGCCTTTCTCCTAACTCTTATACCAGGACAGGGACCTGAATTTGTACCAGACCTAAACTTATCCTCCTAGAGACAGTAAGTCCCAGAGAGGAACTGTTGCGATCTCTGGAGGCCTGTGGCTTGCAGGAGAACCTGGTAAGTGGAGACCTCATCAGAGAGTGACCTCTTCCAAGGGCTCATCCTAGAACCTCCTTCCCAGGCCTGTGGTCTCTACTCTCTCCTCCCTCCCCTGCCCCTCGTGATGAGTCAGGCAGCTGGGCACCTCCCTCTTCTTACTCAGGGTCTCATCACAGGGTCAGGGTATCTGAAAGGTGAAGAGCCAGCCTGGGCCAGCAAGGTACCTTTTTAATTTTTTTTAAAGATGGACACAATATCTTTATTTATTTTACTTATTTTTATGTGTTGCTGAGGATCAAATCCAGTGGCTCACATGTGCGAGGCAAGCGCTCTACCACTGAGCTACAACCCCAGCCCCTCATCAAGGGACCTTTAAGGCTGGAAGCTGACAGTGTTTGTCCAGGACACAAGAGGACTTTAATCAGACTGGGGAAATCACAGATAAGCCAGGACTAGGAAAAAGGAGTGTACATGGTGCTCCTCCCAACTGATGGTTTCCTGCTGGGTGGGGATAGGGTGTTGGGAGGGAGGAAAGGAAGCATTGATTTTTTTTTTTTTTTCCTGAAAAAGTAAAGTTTAATCAAAAAGTCATATACACAAAACAACTTCTGATTCGCTTCAAACTCTCCCACTGGGTTTTTCATGGACAAGCCAGTTTCCCATTGAGTTTGGACTAGCTACAGATGCACCAACAGTGGGTAGAAAGCTAGTTCCTCCTTATTAGGTAAACAGTAGGAACATCTACTCAGGTTTGAACAAGGTCCACGACCTGAGTGACCAAGCAGCAGGTGGCATCCCTTGAGCTTCAGAAGGCCAGTTTCTTCATCAGCAGATAAACTCTGGAATCCACTCCAAATCCTTGCAGGTTGTTGGCATCACCCTGCAGCCTCATGAGTGAAGCCCCATAGAATACGTAAGCAGAGAGGTGTGTTGCCGCTTCCATAGACATTTCATCCCCTCAATCCTGCACACGTTCCCCTACATTACATACTCAAACTGGTCAGCCCTGAAAGGCCTAGGGTGCCATCTTCATACAAGGTATTAGCTATGACCAATTGGAACTTGTCAAGCAAGTCTACAGGGTAAATATGAATGTTTATATCTAAAACGAGGTCCATCTTGAAAGATTCACTCTCACAATGCAATAGAGATACTCCATAAAACTCTTTACCCTCTGGATCAATGTCTTTCACATCCAAAACATCCTCAGAAAGGATGCCAGCCATCGTGAGGGGGCCATGGTAGCAGCAGAAGCGCAGAGCAAGCAGCCATGTCTTGAGGGATTCGCGCACTCCCTCCTGCTGAGAGGAGACAGGGAAAAAGTGCAGGCTGAGGAGCGGCAACATCAGAGCCTAATGATGCATGCGCACCGACTTGCAGCAACGAGGAGGCATTAATTTTATCTGTTTCTTTTAATTTTTTTTTTCAGTACTGGGGATTGAACCTAGGGCCTCATGCATGTGAGGCAAGCACTCTACCGCAGAGCTCCTGTATCTCCAGTCCATTACCCAGTTTTTTTTTGTTGTTGTTGTTCTTTTTTTTTTTTGGGGGGGGGTTGTTTATTTTGTTTTGTTTTTATGCCAGGGATTGAACTCAAGGGCATTTAACAACTGAGTCACATCCCCAGCACTTTTTATTTTGAGATAGAGTCTTGCTAAGTTGCTTAGGTCTCACTAAATTGCTGAGTCTGGTTTTGAACTTGTGATCCTCCTGCTTCAGCCTCCTGAGTTGCTGGGATTGCAGACATGCACCACCATGCCTGGTTTACCCTGTTTCTTGGCAGTCTTGCCTGGGAAGTTTAGAAGAGCACTCCCTTATGGGATTTGAACAGACACCACTGCTTGAGGCACAGGGTTGCTGGTGTCAGTCCAGCCCAACTGTACCCAGTGATCACAAGGGAGATCTCCTGAAGAACTGAGGATGAACCTAGGGCCTCATGCATGCAAAGTACTCTTAGCACTGAATTATACCCTCAGCCCCAAAGATAAATCTTTTTCTTTTTAAATTTTTTTGTGACACTGGGGATCAAACCCAGAGGTGCTTTACCACTGAGCTCCATTCCCAGCCCTTTTCAATTTTTCTTTTGTCTCACTAAGTTGTTGTGGCTAACCTTGAACTTGAGATCCTCCTGCCTCAACATTGTGAGCTTCTGGAATTATGGGCCTACATCATCATGCCCAGCCTCCAGAGATAAATCTTGATTAGAATAATGATGAAACTAGTTTCTAATGTTGCCATACAACTTTTGGAAGAACACTAGGAATATGAATTATGCCTATGGGTGTTCTTGGTGACCAGGTATGGAAAGACGATGCTATGTGTGTGTGGGTGGGTGGTGGGAGCTTTCCTCCTGTCTGTGCATGGATTGGTCCTGAGAGTGAGGACAAGTGTGTGTACACATGTGTGTGATTACGTGTTTGTAGTGGGAAATGTGTATATGTATTTTTTTTTTAAAGTGAGAGAGAGAATTTTAATATTTATTTTTTAGTTTTCGGCGGACACAACATCTTTGTTTGTATGTGGTGCTGAGGATCGAACCCGGGCCACACGCATGCCAGGCGAGCGCGCTACCGCTTGAGCCACATCCCCAGCCCCGTGTATATGTATTTTTATGGGTTCACTCTGGCTGTGATTCTTTAGTGGCTTCAGCTGGAGAGACAGGTGAACACATCCCTGTATTGGCCCTGAGAAATACCGTTACTGTTCCTGAAGTTAGTGAAAGACTGTTTGGTGACTGTCTCTGCTGAGCATGAAGCCACCACCTTGGAGGTCCCCTATACTAGAAAGAGATTCCCCATGGAGGAGAGGAGTAGGTGCTCCCCCCTACCCCCCCACCGCCGTTTTTTGCAGTACTAGTGATTGAACTCAGGGGCACTTCACCACTGAGCTATATTCCCAGCCCTTTTAATTTTTAAAAAATGTTGAAACAGGTTTTGTTAAATTGCTGAGGCTGATCTTGAATTTGCTGTTCTCCTGCCTCAGCCTCCCAAGTACCTGGGATATAGGCTTGTGCCACCATGCCCAGCCTGTGCAGCCTGCCCTCTCTAGCCTTATCTCAGTGAGTTTGAAAACAGCCCTCAGGGCTGCTCTGGGCACCAAAGACAGAAGCCAGAGTCCTTCAACAACTTCTTGAAAGCTTTCCTGGGGCCATGGAGACCTATACCCATGACTGCCCCTAGACATGTGGCCCCTGAACTCTAGCTACCTGCACCTGGGCTTGTACATGGGGTTCCTGTGCTATCACGGGGCTCAGTGCACTCCTGTGAAGGGGTCACCACTATTGCCATTTGGTGGAGGAGGAAACTTAGGCCAGAGAGGGGGTTGCCTAAGGTCACAGAGGGAGGTCTTAGCAAGTCTGGTCTCTTTCACCTGAGTTTGTGTTCTGGCTGCCCCTCTCTTCCTGGAATGAGCACTATTTCACTGTACCCCATCCTTCAATACCAGAATCCCCACCCCAGCCCTCTTCATCTTTAACCTCTGCCCATTTTCTCTTTCATAGCCCATTCGATCAAGAGATTGAAATTCAGCTTTAATGGATATAGTAGAAATCAAGGGGCTGGACTGAATTGGCCCGGGTCAGGAGTTGCGGACTTTTCCACACATGACTCCTGTCCACAGAATTGGGCAGAAGGTTGCAATGTCCTTGCCAGCTTTGTGTCCTGGGGCAGGATCTAGGGATGCTCAATGCCCAAGAAAGCTCAACACCCTCTTGGCCTTGGCCTACCCTCAAGGCCTCTGGGCTAGCCAGCTTGTTCCCTGCCTGCGGCAGGGTGCACTCTTTATGTCCAATTCATTGCTGCCCACAGAACCTGCTCTGACCTTCTGAACATCATGCCTTGGCTCACAGTGTCCCTACATGCTGTGATTTCATCCAGGCAATATACAATTCCTCCTTTAGATTGCCTGTGTCCTCCCTGGTTGCTAGGCAGTGCTGCTTTCTCGGGTCTCCCATAGCTCCAGGGCATGGCCCTCCAGGTTTAAGATAGACATTAAGTCTTTGTCCATATCTCTACTGAATCTGAGCTCCTTGCCTCTGGACCACCTTTGTTGTGCCCACCAGAGTTTGTATGGCCCAGGGCCTCAGAATGGAAAGTGTGGAGACCTATTGGAAGCACACACAGGCCAGGTTGACTGTGGCTTTCTCTGAGAAGTTGGTCTGGGCCTAGATCACTTTTCATTGCATACCCTTTTCTATTATTTGGGGTTTTCACTAGCTTTCTTGTATATTCTTTTTCATAATAATAAAGGAAGAACCTCATGCTGGGCCTGGTGGTACACACCTGTAATCCCAGCAACTCAGAAGCCTGAGGCAGGATGATCAAAGGTTCAAGTCCAGCCTCAGCAACTTAGTGAGACCCCAAGCGACTTAGGGGGAACTTGTCTCAAAATAAAAAATAAAAAGTACTGGGGGTGTGGCTCAGTGGTTAAGTGTCCCTGGTTCAATCCCCAGTACCAAAAAAGAAAAAAAGACAAAAAAGGAAAGAAAATTTTCATTATATAATGAATATGAATGTTTATTGTCTATATTTAAAGGACAATCCACTAGAAGAATTCACTCCCCAACTCAGCATTCAGCCTCTTTAACATACCTGAGAAGTGTTGCTACCAAAAAACATGCTTGTAAGATACATTTTTTTTTTAATTTTAATATTTTATTTTTAGTTATCAGCGGACACAACATCTTTGTTTGTATGTGGTGCTGAGGATCGAACCCGGGTCGCACGCATGCCAGTGCGCTACCACTTGAGCTACATCCCCAGCCCCTGTAAGATACATTTAAAAATAAAGCACCATAGCCAGGTATGGTGATACACACCTTAATCCCAGTGACTTGGAGGCTGAGGCAGAAGGATTACAAGTTCAAGGCCAGCCTCAGCAATTTAGTGAGACCTTGAACTATTAATGAGAGCCCGTCTCAAAATTTAAAAAATAAAGAGGACTGGGAATGTAGCTTAGTGGTAGAACACTTGCCTAGCCTGCCAGAGGTCCTGGGTTCAACACCCAGCCCCACCAAAAATATATATGCGCACACACATATATATTGTCTTGAAAAAGTTGGAGACCACACCCACCCAGTTGATGGAAGTTATTTGACATGGGTACTGGGGTGAGTGTGTGGGAAGGGCTTACAAATTGTTAAAAGGACTTTTGTTATACTGGGATTGTTTGGATTTTTTCTTTCTTTCTTTCTTTTCTTCTTTTTTTTTTTTTGTACTGGGGATTGAACCCAGGGGCACTTAATCACTGAGCAACACCCCCAGTCCTTTTTATTTTTTATTTTGAGACAAGTTCCCCCTAAATCGTCCTTAGGAGAGGGAAAAGTGTCAAGGGTATGGAGGAGGCTGGCAGCATAGAGATCTCCAGGCTGGCCAGGAGGCCTGGAGATTGATTGCTCAGTCCTGTGCTTGTCTTACTATATTATCCTGAGCATATCAATCAACCTCTGTAAACCTTGGTTTCCTCTCTAAGCTGGTGTCTCTTTTTGCTCTGATACTTCTATTGTTCTAAGGCACTGTTCTCCAACATCTCTGTGCATCAGAATCAACTGCAAGTTTCATTAAAAAAAATTTCTGAACAGGCATGGTGGCCCATGCCTGTAAACCCAGAGGCTCCAGAGGTTGAGGCAGAAGGAACACAAGTTTGAGGCAAATAAGAAATAAACAAAGTACTGGGGATGTAGCTCAGTAGCAAAGCACTCCTGGGTTCAATCTCCAGTACCAAAAAGAAAAACAAACATCCCCCCTAGAGTTTCTGATTCAGTAAGTCTGGGGTGAGGCCTGAGAATTTTGTTTATTTGTTTTTTGGGGGGAGGGTGTGGGTGGGGTGGGGTGTGTGGGTAGGTGGGTACTGAGGTGCTTAACCACTCGGCCACATCCCAGTCATTTTTATTTTTTTATTTTGAGACATGGTCTCACTAAGTTGTAGAGGCTGGCCTTGAACTTGCAATCCTCCTGCCTCAGCCTCCCCTCCCAAGTCTCTGGAATTATACAGGCATGCACCACCAGGCCTGGCTGAGAATTCCTTTTCTACTAGGTTCCCAGAAGGTGATGATGATGCTGGTTTGGGATCCATAGTTTGAGAACCAGTTTCTAAATCAACAACTCACTGAGTAACTATCAGATTACTTCTTTGGGGATCTTAGTTTTCTTGATTGTAAAAGTGTGTGTGTGTGTGTGTGTGTGTGTGTGTGTGTGTGTGTATCCCTGGGTAAGTGCATGTGTGAAAT